AAGAATGGTACAAATCATACATCGGATCAGGTATTAATACCCAGAATAAAGAATGCCTACAACTCAACGACAACAAAAACCCAATTCAAAAATGGGCACAAAACTTGACATCCCTCCAAAGAAGATACACAGATGGCCAACAAGCATATGAAAAAAATGTTCAACATCACTAATCATTAAGGAAATGTAAACCAAAATTACAATGAGCTACCACTTCACACCTATTAGGTCAGTTATTACAAAAAAGTCGGTGAGGATGTGGAGAAATTAGAATCCTTGTGCACTGCTGATGGAAATGTGCAATGGTAGAACAACTATGGCAAACAATACAGTTAAATATAAAATTACCAAATTAAAACTGGTAAAACCTAACAAAAAATTAAAAATAAAATTATCATACGATGCAGCAGTTCCACATATGGGTATCTACCCAAAAGAACTGAGAGTAGAGCCTCAAAGAGATTGTCTGTACACCAATGTTCATTGCAGCATTATTCCACAATAGCCAAAAAGGGGTAACAACTCAAATATCCATCAACATTTGGATGGATGAACAAAATGCAGTATTATAAATACAATGAAATATTATTTAGCCTTAAAAAGGAATGAGACTGATACATGCTATAACACGGATAAATGAAAACAGTATAAATGAAGTATGTCAGACACAAAAGAGCAAATATTACGTGATTCCACTTAAAGTATCTAGAATAGTCAAATTCATAGACAAATTAGAATGGCTGCCAGTGGCTAGGGGAAGGGAAAAATGGGGAGTGACTGTAATGGATAGTTTCAGTTTGGAATGATGAAAAAATTCTGGAGGTGGACAGCGGCAATGGTTGACTGACAAAATGAATGTACTAAATCCCTCTACATGTACACTTAAAAATGATTAAAATGGTAAATTCTATGTTTTGTGTATTTTACCACAAAAAAAAAAAAAGGTTAAAAAGGAAAAAACATATAATTTTTTATTGGCCAAATGCAGAACTATAGTATGGTGGTAGCATTAAGAAACTTAGCAGAATGATAACCTCCCTTTCTTCCCCATGTTAAAGAATGCATTTGAATATACTTCCTTCACTTAAAAGGTTTCCCAGCAAGGAGTAGTGATTAGGGAAAGCCAAGTCTGCATGGAGGTGAGATGTTCTCAAAAAAGTTGAGGCTAGAAGTAAATTTCTTAGAAACCCAACAGTTTAAAATTACACAGTGTAGGGGCAACTGGGTAGTTCAGTTCCAAGTGTCTGATCTCATGATTGGATGATTCATGATCTCATGATCTCATGGTTCATGAGTTCGAGCCCCTAGTCAGGCTCAGCACTGGCAGTGCAAAGCCTATTTGGCATTCTCTCTCTCTGCCCCTCTGCTCTTTCTCAAAAAATAAATAAACTTTAAAAAAAGAAAGAAGAAGGGAAGCTGGTGAGAGAACTGACGCCAAACAGCCTTGGACTCCAAAAAGATATGCTTTGTAAGTTACAAACAGAGTAAACTTTCATTGAGTATTTGCTATTTGTCAGCCAATGTTCTAATAAGCACTTTATATGCATTACCTTATGTTTTAACAAAATTGGCCTTGGTGACTCTACTTGCAACCAAATTTTTGCTCCTCTTAGTTACACAAAAAGGTTAACTTAATAGTAAAACAGTCTGGCTATGGGATGGATTTCTGAAGCCAACTGCTTTCAGATATTTAAGAAGCGTTTTTTAAAATTACACAGTTAATTCATTTCCCCTCAACAGCATCTCTCCAATATCCCACCACATGCATACACATAAGTGCATAAAAACTGCATTTAAACAGTAAAAAAAAAAAAAAAAAAA